GAGAGAGAGATCCGGCCTTAGTGAGAGAAAGGGAGAGAAATTGTGCAAATTTTAGTTTAAAGCTTGGGAACCTTGAAGATAGTCTAAGAACTGTTATAGATTGTGAGAATCAAAGCTTCTAGGTGAGTAATTCTTGGATTATAGTTTGTAATTTTGTGTGTTCAAGCTAATTGGGTGATCAAAAGTAAGATTGAAATGAAATTGGGTTGGTTTTGTTGGATTAAAGCTTGATATATGCATGCATGTAAGGAAGTGTTTTGAAATAGCATATATAAGCTTGAAATACATGATTCATGTAGAGTTTTGGTTGAAACTCATGTTTTGATCACCATTTGTGTTGTCTAAGCTGAGAATGAGGCAATTCATCACATGCATGTACAATTTATGAAGATATGAACTTGAATGTATGAATTTGTTATGTTAGAATGAGTTTGATGGGAGATTGGGGCATGCATGTGAATTATTTGTGAATTAAGCTCCATTGGGTTGTGATTTGGGGTTTACATCATGTTAGTATGATTATATTTGAGAATTGGGCCATAACATGCATGATTTGTTGGTTAAAAATCGAATTGGAGCTCAAGAATTTAATCTGGAAAACCTAGATTTTTGATGTCCGCTCGAGCGGGGTGACTGCCGCTCGAGCAGGAAAATCATGCTGCTAGCACTTTTTGCAGAGTTGGAGGTCCACTCGAGCGAGATATCTAACGCTCGAGCGGGGAGCTTTTGTAGATAGGCCTTCCGCTCGAGCGCTCTACTCCACGCTCGAGCATATTTTTCGTGCAACCAGCACTTTTGCTGGCCTTAAGGGTTTGCTCGAGCGGGTAAGTCCACGCTCGAGCGGGGACCCGATTTTCTGAAATTTTGTATGCTTGTTCTGTGTTTCGTTTTCCGTTCTCTTTCACTTGTAAGCACTCTTAGACATGTGTTAAACATTGTAAATGAGTTAATGAGATAAGAATAAAGCCTAAAAAGGAATATGTGAATTAAAGAACGGATTGAACTGTTAGTGACCCTTTTGTGTTCATGAAATGTGTAGGGTCAAGCTCCAGGGCAAATCCGCAAGCCGATCACTGTGAGTAATATCAATATTCGAAAGCTTGTCAATGTCCAATTGTTTATTCCCTTATAAACTTATGAGTTGCTAATTGGGATTGTGGACAAAAGTCTGACATGAATAAAAATGAATGGACCGAAGGTCGTTTTGATAGAAATGAATGGACCAAAGGTCGTTTTGATAGAAATGAATGGACCAAAGGTTGTTTGATAGAAATGGATGGACCAATGGTTGTTTTGATAGAAATAAATGGACCAAAGGTCGTTTTGATAGAAATGAGTGGACCGAAGGTCGTTTTGACATATATGAATGGACCTAAGGTCGTTTTGACATGAATGAGTGGGCCGAAGGCCGTTTTGACACGAATGCATGGGCCGAAGGCTGTTTTGATGTAAATGAATGGGCCAAAGGCCATTTTGACAGAAATGTACGGGCCGAAGGCCGTTTTGACATAAACGAATGGGCCGAAGGCCGTTTTGACATGAATGGAAATCTGAATGGGCCAAAGGCCAGAATGTTTGGAACTACAGCTACTTGTTTGAATTTCGTATAGTTATATATCTGTTAAATAGAAATATGAATTGGGCCCAAGGCTGTTTGGAACATGTTGTTCTACATTGTTATGTAACTTCTGTATTTGATTTGATATTATTGCTCACGCTCATTCATGTGTTTGTAGGTGAGCCAAGGGAAGTCCAAACCCAGCCCCAGTGAAGTCTGCCAGGAACAACATGAGTTTTGGAGAGTTAGCCTTGTGTCTCATGCACAAGACCCATCCTTGCCATTTTGTTATGTATTTATATTTTGTCTTGTTGGCAAGGAATTTTTGTATATCTGTATACAGTTTTGTTATGGGTTGACTCAGTTTGGATGATCCTGTCTATAAAGGATTTTATGGTACTGTATTTTGTTGTGGGTTATTAATGTATATGAGTATGGTTTGTTTTGATGTGCATATAAGCACGACTCTATTGACAAAGTTTTTAATTATTGCTTCCGTTTGGCCCCTTTACTCTGTTGAGTTATGTCTGTTTTGATTTGAGGTCGTCGGTAATCTCAGGATTACTGGCCGGTTATGTCCTTAACCCATAGGGGCGGGTTCAGGTCATGACATACACGTTTTGTTTACACAACAATAAATACAAAATCATTAGAGAGATAAGAAAAACTTAAGCTTTAAAAAATGTAGACTTGTAAAAAGGGAGTCAATATTATCATTCGCTTCTAGTCTTCATCCACCTGTAAAATATAGAAAAAAGCAATGTGATAATTAAAAGAGACTACCCAATTCAAAACAAACACATGCATTGTCACACTAATGAAAGGTTTTTTTATAGACTACCCAATTCAAACTAAACACAAACATTGTTGCAAAATAATAATTGGTTACCCAATACATACACTACGAACAAACACAACACATTGTCTACATTTTTTTTTTCAAGTTAGAAGTTTGCATAAGTATATTTTGGTATTATACATCAGCAACTCTCTGAATCTTTTGGTATTTTATATAAACAGAATAGTTCTATTGCTATTTCATTTAAATTAGGATTGTAACCAATGATTAGTGGATGAAAAGTGGATGAATTTACACCGTGCCTTTAGTTTTATTCTCCAATACACACACACACACATGTAATATTGTATTTCATTGTTAGGTCTCCAATATGTAATATTGTTCTAGGATCGTAATAGAGATGGTGTGTTCAAGTAATGCTTATGATGATAGACTGATAGTGTTAGAAAGTGTGTTAATGCAAGACTCGCTCATACGTGTGTGTGAAAGACAAATGTAAATTTGATAATTTTAGAGAGAATTCTGGAAAATTCAAACCCAACAATATAAAATGAAAAGAAATCATTTACCCCAATCAATCAGATAGAGATACAAACCAGTTGATAGAACTTTGAATGAAATTTATTGATACATATCAGCAGAAAAAATTTCAGCAAATAAATTGATAGAACTTTGAATGAAATTTATTTATACTTTGAATGAACTTTGAATGTAAACTTTGATATGCATCAGTAGATTTATTGTTTGATATGTATCAGTAGATAAAATTTGTTCAGATGTTAATACATATCAAATAAAATAAATGATCAGCAGATTCTTTGTTTGATATGTATCAGCAAATTTATTGAAAATAAAAAAATGTTAGAAATGTTTGGTTAACAATTGGTCCATGTATCAATTTACACCCCCAGAAAACAAATCCAAACAAATAATAAAACCCCTTTAAACCAATAGGACAATTAATTAGTGCTGCCAATCATAACAAATAACTCTTTCAAAATCATTAGTGAGTGAGCAACAAAAAGAAATAAAAAAATGTTAGAAATGTTTAGTTAACAATTGTTCCATGTATCAATTTACACCCCCAGAAAACAAATCCAAACAAATAATAAAACCCCTTTAAACCAATAGGACAATTAATTAGTGCTGCCAATCATAACAAATAACTCTTTCAAAATCATTAGTGAGTGAGCAACAAAAAGAAATAAACACACACACACATGTAATATTGTATTTCATTGTTAGGTCTCCAATATGTAATATTGTTCTAGGATCGTAATAGAGATGGTGTGTTCAAGTAATGCTTATGATGATAGACTGATAGTGTTAGAAAGTGTGTTAATGCAAGACTCGCTCATACGTGTGTGTGAAAGACAAATGTAAATTTGATAATTTTAGAGAGAATTCTGGAAAATTCAAACCCAACAATATAAAATGAAAAGAAATCATTTACCCCAATCAATCAGATAGAGATACAAACCAGTTGATAGAACTTTGAATGCAATTTATTGATACATATCAACAGATAAAATTTCAGCAATAAATTGATAGAACTTCGAATGAAATTTATTTATACTTTGAATGTAAACTTTGATATGTATCAGCAGATTTATTGATACATATCAGCAGATAAAATTTGATTAGATGTTGATACATATCAAATAAAATAAATGATCAGCAGATTCTTTGTTTGATATGTATCAGCAGATTTATTGAAAATAAAAAAATGTTAGAAATGTTTGGTTAACAATTGGTCCATGTATCAATTTACACCCCCATAAAACAAATCCAAGCAAATAATAAAACCCCTTTGAACCAATAGGACAATTAATTAGTGCTGCCAATCATAACAAATAACTCTTTCAAAATAAATAAAATAAATGATCAGCAGATTCTTTGTTTGATATGTATCAGCAGATTTATTGATAATAAAAAAATGTTAGAAATGTTTGGTTAACAATTGGTCCATGTATCAATTTACATCCCCAGAAAACAAATCTAAACAAATAATAACACCCCTTTGAACCAATAGGACAATTAATTAGTGTTGCCAATCATAACAAATAACTCTTTCAAAATCATTAGTGAGTGAGCAACAAAAAGAAATTAAAAAATGTTAGAGATGTTTGGTTAACAATTGGTCCATGTATCAATTTAAACCCCCAGAAAACAAATCCAAACAAATAATAAAATCCCTTTGAACAAATAGGACAATTAATTAGTGCTGCCAACCATAACAAATAACTCTTTCAAAATCATTAGTGAGTGAGCAACAAAAAGAAATAAAAAAATGTTAGAAATGTTTGGTTAACAATTGGTCCATGTATCAATTTAAACACCCAGAAAACAAATCCAAACAAATAATAAAACCTCTTTGAACCAATAGGATAATTAATTAGTGCTGCCAATCATAACAAATAACTCTTTCAAAATCATTAGTGAGTGAGAAACAAAAAGAAATAAAAAAATGTTTGAAATGTTTGGTTAACAATTGGTCCATGTATCAATTTAAACCCCCAGAAAACAAATCCAAACAAATAATAAAACCCCTTTGAACCAAAAGGACAGTTAATAAGTCCTGCCAATCATAACAAATAACTCTTTCAAAATCATTAGTGAGTGAGAGGTGGGTGTACATACTCAATGGAAGGTGGGTGTACATACTCAATGGAAGGTGGGTGTACATACTCAATGGAAGGTGGGTGTACATACTCAATGGAAGGTGGGTGTACATACTCAATGGAAGGTGGGTGTACATACTCAATGGAAGGTGGGTGTACATACTCAATGGAAGGTGGGTGTACATACTCAATGGAAGGTGGGTGTACATACTCAATGGAAGGTGGGTGTACATACTCAATGGAAGGTGGGTGTACATACTCAATGGAAGGTGGGTGTACATACTCAATGGAAGGTGGGTGTACATACTCAATGGAAGGTGGGTGTACATACTCAATGGAAGGTGGGTGTACATACTCAATTTTTGGGACATCCCAAACAACAATGGAAGGTGGGTGTACATACTCAATGGAAGGTGGGTGTACATACTCTGTTAGTAAGTGTAAATATCATCAATATCAATTTCACCAATAATTTCCCAATTTTAATATGATTCTTCTTGTTTTCCAAATCAAAGAAACACATAAATATCCCATAAACACATAAGTAACTTGACTTTCAATATATTAAGAAGTTTCAACGTTGTCCCTCTGTTAAATACATTCACACAAACCTAACTATCTTGGCTTTGTTAAGCATTTTATCATATGTATGGAGTTTAAGTAATTTTTTTTTAAAAAAAGTAACTAACACAAACAATTACTTTGGGCTTTGTTTAAAAGGAAAGAAAAAAAAAATTTAAATTTATGAAAAGGAAACCTAGGAGAAATTTTTTTTTTGCCCAGCCAAACACAAACACAAACATATAGAAAAACATATCAGTTTAGAGCAATCCAAATACCTAAAAATATAGAAACCCATATCAGTTTCTTTAACATATAGAAAAACAAAATTCTAACCAGAGTGATTGAGAATCCAGAAAATACCTAAATCAAAATGATTGAGAATCACCTAGAATACCTAAAAAACTCCATAGCAGATATTACCACCAAATGAAAGAGAGAACCAGAGTGTTAACCAAGTCAGCTGTAATGGCCGGGTTCCCTTCATTCCTTTTGTTTCTCTTTGGCTTCGTCCTCTCTTACTTCCGTTGGGTTTGAAACGTCCGAAAGTCATTTCAAATTTAAGCCCTTATTCATGTTTTGTTTGTGAGTGTTGAATCTTGCTTGTTCCGGAGCGTGCTAGAGCAAGTTCGGAGGGTCCGGGAGCCGAGTTGTGAAAATCCGGGCTGGAAAGCAGGGGGCCGTACGTGCGGAGGCCAAGGGCCACACGTGCGGGAGGCCAAGCCACACGTGCAGAAAGGGAGGGGCTAGAGTGTGTTGCATTCTGCTTAAAAAATAGGTGCGGAGGGCAGGTGCGGGACTAGCCGCATGTGCGGGGATCAGTGCCACACGTGCGGAAAAGCGCAGCCGCACGCGTGGGGGCAAGTGCCGCACATGCGGGACTGGACAGATTCGAAAATTCTGTTTTTTATTCATTTTGGGGCCGAAGTTCCCTCACTTTCTAACCCTTCTCTCTCACTCTAAAAGCCATTTTCTCTCCTCAGTCTCTCTAAAAACCCTAACCAAAACACCTAGAACCTTTGATTCTTGTTTTCCTTGGGTTTGATTTTCATCATCATCTTCCTCAAGCTTGAAGATTTAGAGCTAGGGCTTGCTTGGTGTAGGAGAAAGTGAAGAGTTTCCATCTTGGGGCTAGGGTTTCTTCTTGCACTCTTCATCAAAACTTTGAGGTAGGGATATTCTTGAGTTATATATATATGCTTTGCAAGTTAAATGTTGATTTTGTGTTTCTATTGAATTTGTTTTGAGAGTTTTGGTTTTGGTTCAAAGATGATGAGATTTCTCAAATGAGGGTTTAAATGTTGAAATGTTTCTAAGTTGATCCTTGTGACTTCTTATTTATTGTTTAAAAGGGATGATTTTGATGATGCTTTCATCATGAAGTGAAGAAGTGTTGAGTTTTTGACAAAAACCCTAGAAATTGGGGATTTTACAAAATGATGAAAATGTCCTTGAAATTATTTACTTTCTTGTGTTAAGAGGATGTATGAGAGTAAGTTCCACCAAATGTTATCATAATAACAACATACTTGACACATGGGATATGAGATGGTATTTTAACATTGTTGCTAACACTTGAACTTGTAATGAGGTAAGAGGATAATTGTTGAGCACCATGGTAGTGAAATTGAAATCTTGAAGGATGATGTTTGAAAATTTCATATAATGGCCTGAGTGTCCAGGGTGAAAGACTCGAAAGCCGCGCGGATAGGTGTCGAGCCTTCCGGTTAGCACCGGTAAAAATGACAGTTTGGTAGTGCGTGCTGAGCCTACTTACAGACACCAGCCTAGAGATTACCAGTGTCGTATTTACCGCCCCCATTGAATTAATATTGGAAGTTTGAAATTGATGAGACTACAAGCTAATATTGAGAACATGGTGATTTTGAGAATGTGCATTAAAATGAATATTTTCCTCATTTATCAACTTTGGCATGGCATTGCACTCACGTTTATTTTATGTTGAGGATAAAGCATAACTGTATATACTTTGTGAGAATACTCTACTGGGCTTTGTGCTCACCCCTATGGGATTTTGGTGCAGGTAAAGATGTGGTGATTCCGCCACACTGAGGAAGTGGATATTTTGAGAAGAGTACATAGCTCTTTTATTTTGTGTAATTCTTTTGAGCCAAGGGCTAATGTGTATGGGTTGTAGAAACCATTTTTTTGTTTAACCAGGCTTATGCCTTGGAAGATGTAAGCCCTTAAGGGCATTGTATTGTTTTGAGAATGGATGCTTTACATGCTATATATTCATATGTTTTGTATCGATGAATATATACCCGCATGTAAAACCTTTGTAAGGACTCTAATTTAATTACTTAAAGATGGGCAGATTATTGTTATTGTTGAGTGAATGTTGATCATTTGTGGGTAGTTCATGTCAAAAAATTTCGGGGCGTTACACAGCCAAATTCTAACCAGAGTGTATAAACTACACAACAACATGATATATAGATTTATAAACCCAGTTATATCAACAATTGAAGTATTTTCATATGAGAGTATTTAATAAAAAACAGAACCAGATAGAGAGAAAATGGCAAGAGAAGAAAACGAAGGGGAACAGAGAGAGAAGGGGAATAGAGACAGAAATATTACCTTGCATAGATAGAAGCCTCAGGTTTGGTGTAGCTCTGAAGTAGCTCTGTTTCACCAAATAATAAGCCATGAACCATAAACGGAAATGATGATAAACCAGAAACCATGAATCAACAATTTAAACATGAAGCATAGAGAGAAAGAGAGAAACAGAGAGAGAGAGAGAGAGGTACTGGACTGCTCCAATTCGGGTTCGAAGCAATGAGGGAAAGAAAAGACGTCGGCGGCGGCTATGGTGGTGGGAGGAGCGAACTCGGTTTCGCGGTTCTTAATTGGAAACCCTAGCCTTCAGAAAGCAAGTGGGAGGGTTGCGAATTGAAGCCACTGACAGAGAATGGGGGAGAAGGGGAGAGGTAGAAATCGGGTGGGAGGGTTGTGAATTGAAGCTATTGCGAGAGAAGGGGGGAGATGGGGAGAGGTAAAAATCGGGTGGGAGGGTTACGAATTGAAGCTATTGCGAGAGAAGGGGGGAGAGGGGGAGAGACAGAAATCGGGTGGGAGGGTTACGAATTGAAGCTATTGCGAAAGGAGGGGGAGGGAGAGGAAGAGAGAGAGATCTTTGAGGAGAGAGAGATTGACACCTGAGAAGTTGGAGGGGGAGAGAGAGAGAGAAGTGCAAATAATTATATTGTTTGGGTTTGTCATGGGTGGGTGGGACGCCACAGAGAGAGCAAGAGAGGGATTGTTTTGGGCGAGAATGTGAAAATCATCTCAGCCTTTAATGAATAAAAACAAATCATCTCAGCCGTCTAAATTAAATGTATCTCTGAGACATTTCTATACATTTTCAAAAACCATCTTCCCTTATTATATAGATGTTAATGTATATTATCATATTATACTTATCTATTTGTATCTCTGTTCCTTTCTTGTATCTCTATTTCTATCTCATTGTATCTCTATCTTCTTCTTTACTTATCTAGGTTTCTTTTTAGCTTATATATACAAGCTTCTCCTATTGTATTCATTCATTCAATTCAATAATACAGATACACAATTCTAACAATTGATATGATTATGTAATAATAAAATTTAAAATCTAAAATATGACTCAGTTTAATAATATAATATGTGCCATTTTTAATAAAGTATAAGCTATACCAGTGAATAAATTTTATTTATTTTATATCATTGTTATTATTATTTTTTTTTATTTCATATGAAACTACTCTTTTTTTTTGGGGGGGAAAATTAGTCTAAGGTCCCTCTCTCATATTTAGTAATGGAAGAGATTCACAATTTTATTTTATAATGTCTAAGGTCCCTCAACTCCCACACCCATATATCACAGAGAAATTTGACACTCTGGAATCAAACCTCATTTTTTTTTCTCTCTCTCTCACTCTAAACTTAGGCCATGGCGGTGACGGACGTGAAGGAGTACCCGAACTCGTACGTGTTCATCATCGACATGCCTGGGCTGAAGTCAGGGGGAGAGGATCTTGATTCCTGGCCACGCTTCTGGAGGCCTTGTCCTCGTGGCTCTGCAACCATGAATAAAAGCAAACTGATGACCAGTGAATACCTCTAAACTTCTCAACTTCTCTCTCTTTCTCTCTCTCTCGTAATGGAAGTAGTGGAAGTGAAGAATGGTTATGGTGGTGGTGGTGGAACCATCGTGTGTGTGATCGGAGCTTCAGGTTTCATCAGTTCATGGCTCGTTATACGTCTTCTTCAACATGGCTACTATGTCTGAGCCACAGTTCGCGATCCTGGTCTCCATCATCGCCTTCATCAAGGTTCAGGCGGAGGGTTGGGAAGCTGATGAGGAAGTTTTTGTTGCTTGAGAATGCTATGGAGTAGAATTTCTCTGGAGAGAAATTCCGAAGTCCAGAGAAATTTGGTTAAAACACAGACAAAGAATCCAGAGAAATTCCGAAGTCCAGAGAAATTTAGTTAAAACACAGAGAATCTAGAATTTCTCTGGAGAGAAATTTCGAAATCCAGAGAAATTTCTCTGGAGAGAAATTCTCTGGATTGAATTTTCTCTGGATCAATGTTGAGGGATCTTAGACATTATAAAAATATTTAGTGTCCTTTATGCTATAAAATCTTAATATCAAGGACCTTAAAAAAAATCCTCTTTTTTTTTGTCCCAATTTTTAAATATGTGATGAATTGAGATTTACATTTACTCTCTAATACAATACTTTATTTTCTTCTAAAATTTTATTGTTTGATAAAATCAATAAAGTTAGGGGATTTTTTGTATAAAAAAATTAAGTATATATATCTGTACACGATCATCATATTAGAGTATTAATTTAGAGCATTTCATTTTTAATTTTGATAAATTTATATGTTAATACTTGCATGGGTGACGGTGAGGGCGTTGGTAAGTAACGGTGGTGATGGTAGATTTCTTTAGTTAACAAAGAAATTCATGGCATTCAAATTTTAATAAGACAGATATTTGTGTATGAATTTATTTATTTATTTTTGGAATAAATTATCAATAGGTTCTACTTTTGAGACTTATTACCCGTTAAATTCTATTGATAAATTTATAAATTTATTAAATGATAAATTTATCAGTCTTTCTTGTTTTTATAAATAAATTTACAACGATAAATTTATCAATCATGACCTATATATAAATAAGGAAAAATTAGTCTAAGGTCCCTCTCCAATTTTTAACAATGTAAGAGATCCACAATATTATTTTATTATGTCTAAGGCCCTCAACCCCCATACTCATATATACCATAGAGAAATTTTCAAATCAATCCCACCACTATCCCCTTCTCTTTCTCTCTCTCTCCGATCTCATCACTTCACCTTCGCTGCAACTGTTGCATTCTCCACTGTTGCTGCCACTACCAGCGCTGCTAGCGCCTCTCCCTCAGATCAACTTCACAGATCAACGGATCTGCCGCTATCATCACCAGATCGGACCTCCACATACGGTTCCGCCGATGCCTTTCTTCACTTTTGGTCTTAAGATGTTCATCCCTTTACTTCGGTTTGAGTTCGAAAAATGCTTAATGAATGTAGCTTCAACCCTGTCCATAAGCTTATTAACTTGTAATTCCCCAAATTGAATCATCAGATTTTTCAATGTTTTCTTTTCTTTTCCAGAGCACCTAAGAAAGTTGAGTCTAGTCCACTTAATTTTTTTTGCTGAACCTAAATGCATTGTTAGGGAGTTTCTGGATTGGGTTTTTAGATCATTAATGGTCAGCTAAGTTGCTGTAATTGATGGATGTATTGTAACTTGCATTCTAGGTTTCGTTGTTGTTGCTTGGTTGATATTTATAAAGATGATTTTGATGAGTTTTGCCTAATTGCTCCTAATTGCTCACTGCCTAATTGTTCACTGCCTAATTTCTCTAGGTCAAAATGAACCCAGAGAAATTTGAATTTTCTCTAGGTTGGAGGGGGATTTTCTCTGAATTTGAGTGAATTTCTCTGGGATGGAGAGGGGAATTTCTCTAGTTTTCAGAGAATTTCTTTGGGTTGAAGTGAAAGTCTAGAGAAATTCTTGGTGAGATTTTTCTTCACTTTTGGTCTTAAGATGTTCATCCTTTTACTTCAGTTTGAGTTTGAAAAATGCTTAATGAATATAGCTTCAACCCTGTCCATAAGCTTATTAACCTGTAATTTCCCAAATTGAATCATCAGTTTTTTCAATGTTTCTTTTCTTTTCTAGAGCACCTAAGAAGTTGAGTCTAGTCCACTTAATTTTTTTGGCTGAACCTAAATGCATTGTTAGGGAGTTTCTAGATTGGGTTTTTAGATCATTAATGGTCAGCTAAGTTGTTGTAATGGATGGATGTATTGTAACTTGTAAGATTTCAAGTTTCCTTGCTATTGCTTGGTTGATATTTACAAAGATGATTTTGATGAGTTTTGCCTAACCGCTCCTAATTGCTCACTGCCTAATTGCTCATTGTCTATTTTCTCTGGGTTGAAGGGGGATTTTCTCTGGGTTTGAGTGAATTTCTCTGGGATGGAGAGGGGAATTTCTCTGGGTTGAAGTGAAAGTCCAGAGAAATTGGTGAGATTATCTCTGTGAAGTCGAATTTTCTCTGGATCAATTTGAGGGACTTTAGACATTATTAAAATATTAAATGTCCTTTATGCTATAAAATCTTAATAGCAGGGACCCTAAAAAAAAATCCACTATAAATAAATCTAATTAATAGAATTGATTAGTAAATTCTCCTTTTTTTTTAATTATTTTATATTGTTGAGGTATCTTTCAGGTGAAACTTGTTATTTGTTTCCTAATAAATTCTTATCATTGCGGGGTTGTGGCAAAAATTCCTTTACAATTATGAAAAATATTACACCAATACAAAAGTTTATTACAATTTTTCTTACATACTGTTGTGATATTGAGTGGTTAAACTTGTTTAACTGTTCCAAAAAAAAAAAAAAATTAGAATGTAAAATAAAAATTATTAATATAATAGATGTCACATCAATTTACAAATAAAATTTGTAACTTTTTAAAAATATATTTGTAACTTTTTAAAAAAAAAATATATATATATATATATAGCATTACTCTAAAATTACTACAATATTGTCATTGTGATTAATGATTTTCTTGTGAGCAGTTCAATAGTAGTTTCCGAACGCGTTGAATACTGGTTGTTTTGTTAGTCAAAAAAAAGTCTGCTAGTGTTGAAGGGAATTCAACAATATCTATTTTTAGAGGAATCTAATTGTTAATCTACAAAGTTAAATTAAGCTATTTAAGGGTACATGATATCCACCTTAGTCCATTTGATTTGTACCAATTTGACTACATTTTATAGTCTATGAAGCATGAGTTATACGTCTGTAACATGAGATGAGATTGTATAGTAAAAATAATAATCACACAGAAATTATAGTCCAAAGTCAATTCTTATATAATAAAATTTATATCTTAAATTAGTTTAATTTTTTTTTTTTTGTGTGTGTGTGTGCGCGCGCGCAAGCAATAACATTGTTGGAGATTGCTATATTTATTTTAAACAATAATATTATATCCATCGAATTTTGGCTTGTTTGAATTGTTTGAATTTGTGCATGCCGATCGTCGGGCAGTTCATCCAGGTGGTTGTCCGGTCAGTCATCCAGGCGGATGCCGGTTGACACATCGGATTACAATGGTAACAATCACAGTTGATAAGGGTGACACCGGTCGTCTAGCCAAGTCAATCGGGCATAATCGGACTACCCATATTTTGGTGGAGCAATCATTTTTCTATTTTAAATGAAAACAAATTATACAGAATTTACTACTTTGAAATGAGAGAGAGAGAGAGAGAGAGAGAGAGAGAGAAAGAGAGAATTCATTGTAAATGTCATATTACTCAATTCTTAACAACCCAACCAAATCACACATTTCCAAGTTCTCCTTATCTCACCCACCAATTGTGAGCAAGAAGTAGTTTCTTGCAAGTTGCAAGAAATGCCAATTAGTACAACATTTTACCTCTGCTAAAGAGTTCTTTTTAAATCAAATCTAGTCTTCTCCTTTCACCAATCTGCACGAAATAACAAATGTATTAGTATTAATTACCTCAGCTTTTAGAGCACTTTCAAGGCTCTCAAAACATTACCAAAACACTCATGTCTCAAAAAGTTTGGTTGTGCGTGTATGCTTTTTCTTGTTTTTTTTCCTTCTGAAAAGTACACAAAAACCCATTCTTGAAAAAAATTCTGAAAACAACCCACTAGTGTTTCGAAAAACACTATTAACAAAAAATGAAACAAACAAAAAAAATAAATAAATAAAAACATAACCAAACAGAGCTGATACTACTACGTACCATCGCTTTTCCTCTTCGAAGATCGATAGAAATAAAAGAACATGAATACAAATAGCAATGCAGCTGCTACTCCCACAACAATTGCTACTAATCTCCCTGAAGATGTACTAATTTGATTTGTTTCATTCCCTATTTATTAAGTTCAAATAAAACAAAAAAATGGTTTGTTACTAAAATATTCATAATGTTGATTATCATGTATTTGCAAAGTCAAAATTATGTTGAGATAAGAGTGAGAGAACTAAATCTCTCTCTTCCCTACCTTGATTTGAGTTGCCAGGAATCCCATTATTGTCATTGGAGCTAAAGCTAATGAAGCAGCTGTCCAGATATACTTCTCCTGAGAGTGAATTTCCACATTCATCTTGAGCAATTTGGACTGCATTGTTCACACACCCTCCACATTCTTATCATGTATTTGCAAAGTTAAAATTATGTTGAGATAAGAGTGAGAGAACTAAATCTCTCTCTTCCCTACTTTGATTTGAGTTGCCAGGAATCCCATTATTGTCATTGGAGCTAAAGCTAATGAAGCAGCTGTCCAGATATACTTCTCCTGAGAGTGAATTTCCACATTCATCTTGAGCAATTTGGACTGCATTGTTCACACACCCTCCACATTCACACCCTTCTAAGTTTCCTCCACACTGAGCCACCATGTGCATGCTCTCATAGATCATGTCGATGAACCCATTAGCACTGCTCACAACATTGCTCTCGAGCGCTGCAAATGCTGCATCTCTCAGCTCTATAAGCCCACTCGAGTCCGCTTTGGAATCACTGCAGGTCTTGTGTTGCAATTGCACCCTGCAAGCAAGCAGAGACGAAATCAAGATTCTAATTTACAGGAGACAAACATATACATTAATCAAACTTTTGAAAAAAATAAAAATATCAAATTAATATTGTATACTTTTGTAATGAATTTATTATTAATTGATACTAATTATAACAATTGTTGATTATTAATATTAATTGATACTAATAAAATTAATTATTAATATTAATTTATACTAATTAAAAATTTTAGTATTAATTGAGACTAATTAAGCCATTAATTGATTTACTATTAAAATTTTAGTATTAATTGATGCTAATTAAGCCATTAATTGACACTAATTAATTTATAATGAAAAAAATGAAATAATTTTATACTAATTGAAACTATTAAGACCTGGTTTGGGAACTTTAAAAAAAGTCAAAAAATCAAAAAGTTACAAAAAAAGTTAAAAAGTTATTACTATTCACAAAAAAAAAAATTAATATACAAATACTAAAATACAAATAAACTTTTTGGCCCATCTCGATACTGATGTCAAAGCAAAGGCCGTGAAAGGAGAAAAAAAAAATTGCATGTGTATATTCACTAAGTTGAATGGTAAAGTTGGGCCCGTAGAGCCCACCATGGGTCCCGTTTTGATAATCCGAACCGATTAATATGTAGAACTCGTCTAGTACTATATGCTTGCAAAAAATCACATCTATCAGATATTGCTAACTACATGATCAAATCAGTTTTGTATAAAAAATGGATAGTGTTATAGTTAACAGTTGACAAAAAAAAACTAATACGATCAGATAGCTATCGATATCCAATCAACGTGAGTTTTTACAAGCATATAGTACTCGACAACTTCTACATATTGAACGGTTCCGATTAGAAAAACGGGACCCGCGATGGGTCCCCACGGGCCGAACAACACCGTCCAATCAAAGCCCGAAAAGGAGGCAATCTTTTCCCATCTCCTACCTAGCCGACTGCACTGCCCAACCCGTACGGCCTACTTCACTATCTTCTCCTACACACTTATTTATACAAATTTTAATACATTTTTTTTATAAAATGTCAAAAAGTTAAAATTTTTTAGTGGTTTTTTTTTTTTTTTTAAATTTTATAAATTCAGTAGGTCCTATTTGACCAATTTTGTACAATCTACAAATATTACAGACAAACATCACAAAATATCAATCAACCACCAAAATATTGTTTGAAACATCAAAAAGAAACTATATTTATAAATTATAAACATTCAACAATTGTTTATACATTCTAAACATTCAAAAACTATATCCTTAAGTTCTAAATTGTACAAAAAATATAAACCATCCAAAACTATGCATATCTAACTTTCTAAATATATTAACAACTATTAAGAGATTATCTAAAACTACCGACAATAGTTCCTATACACTAAAAGAATTTTCACTTTTGGCGACTAAATTTTTAGTCGCCAAAAGTCATATTTTAGTCGCCAATACTCTTTAGCGACTAAATTTTTTGGTCGAGAAATTAGTAGCCAAAGAATAGTCGGGAAATATAATTGCCGACTAAACCTAATTTAGTCGCCAATAGGTTTGAAAATTAATTAAATAAATACATTTTTGCCGACTAATTTTTTTGTCGCCAAAAGCTAATTATTTAGTGGCCAAAAACTTTATAGTTATTAAATTTTTTAGTCGCCAAAAGCAAATACTAATGTCTTGGCTACTAAAATTTTAATCGCCTAAAGTCAATCTTTTTTGGCTACTAAAATTTTAGTCGCCAAATACTATTTCTTTTAGCTACTAAAAATTTAGTCGCCTAAACTTCAACATTTTTTGCTACTAAAAATTTAGTCGCCTAAACTACGACATTTTTGGCTACTAAATTTTTAGTCGCCAAAAATCATATTTATTCTTCAACTTTTGTTTTTAGCTACAAAATATTTTAGTCGCCAAATGTTTGATTTTCTTTTAGCTACAAAACTTTTAGTAGCCAAATGTTTGATTCTCTTTTGGCTACAAAACATTTAGTAGCTAAATGGTTGTTTTTCTTTTGCCTACAAAAAATAAAGTAGCCATTGTTTTTCTTTTGCCTACAAAAAATTTAGTAGCCAAATATTTGATTTTCTTTTGGCTACAAAACTTTTAGTAGCCAAATGTTTGTTTGGTTTGTTTGTTTTTTTGTTTTTTTGTTTTTTTTTCTTTTTTATTGGCTACAAAACGTTTAGTCGGCAAAAACATGATATTATGTTTTATTGTTAATATTATAATGTGTCCATAACCTGTCTGTATTCCATTCAACCTGTAATACGTATATAAATAAAATGATACATAAATTATCAATCATTCCACAATCTGCATCCGTATACAAAAAATAAATTACTTTAACTGTCCAAGTACATACAAACGAACTATTGTCCAAACTAAAATAATAATTCCATACAACATATACAATCATATAAAAAGTACATATACAAAAATTACATTTACTATACCATGTGAAATGACCATTTGGCATGGTACAAATTACCATCGTAATCTGTATTGATTATTCCAACCATCATATTCAATAATAGTGAACTATCCAAAAGTCGATGACGACAAAATTATTATATTAGTTCTATACGAAAGGGAAAATTCTTCTCCATACACCAATATGAATTATCCACAAGTCCACACAACGAAGCCATCTACCAAAAAAAATAAAAAACAAACAAACAAAACATTAAAATTTGTTACAAAATATGAATTTAGTCTGCCATAAGAAACATGTTCTAACATGCATTTAAGGTAGAATAATCGAGAAATGTCTTTTTCAAAATTAAAGAAAAAAAATATATATATATATGTATCATGCAATATTTATTCTAATCTTGAAAGAAATTTCTTTTTAAATTTTTTTTTTTTCTACTCTTGAAAATCATGAACACATTACACCAGTAATAGTATTCAAACTATTACACACACTGTTTATAGTAAAAAACATTTTAGTGTTATGTAAGGCTTGATCATATTTATTTTCAATACAGTTAACTACATTTCTTATGCATATTTAGACATTTAGCTACAAATATGTAGATTTCATACAGTTAACTATAAATATATAAAGACAATTATTAGAATACTTTCTGTATGTTTTTTAGTAACTCTAAAGGTTGGTTTGGGGTGTCCTAAAAAAATGTACTTTTTGTCTTTTTACGAAAAGATGTGCAGAAAAGTAGAGAGGTGATGTGATGAAAAAAAGATAAAAAGATAAAAAAATGAATTATATAGGTTATGCCAAACGAGGCCTTAAGGTACCTCTTTGCCCAAAGACTTGGGTGAAATCTCTTTTCGGATTTTGTATTCCATATGTCACATGCTTTGTTTTGGCCTGTATACTCACAGCAAATTTTGAGGAACATTCATCTCTATCATTCACAATTTATGTGCACTTTGGCCTTTATTTTTGGACCTTTTTTTTGCAGTGGTTAATGCGAAGACAAGCACACTTACTTCGGGCTGAACAAGGTATTCCTATTTCTGTATGTTTTGAATTTTCGGCCCCCAAACGCTTCGGCTGTAACTCCTAACCTACAGGTCCTAATAAAATTCCGTGAGTTGTCACAAGTCCTATTAGTCATGGGAATGCTGTCCGTGAGGGGCACACGGAGGTTCGGGGCTGTTTTCAATTTTTGCCCCCGAAACGGCATTTTTCGACTAAGTTTTGGACGTTTTCAGCTCTAACTCCCAACCTATAACTATAAATATATAAAGACAATTATTAGAATACTTTCTGTATGTTTTTTAGTAACTCTTAAGGTTGGTTTGGGATGTCCTAAAAAAGTGTACTTTTTATCTTTTTACGAAAAGATGTGCAAAAAAGTAGAGGTGATGTGATGAAAAAAAGATAAAAAGATAAAAAAATAGATTATATAGGTTATACCAAACGAGACCTTAAGGTATCTCTTTGCCCAAAGACTTGGGTGAAATCTCTTTTCGGATTTTGTATTCCATATGTCACATGCTTTGTTTTGGCCTGTATACTCACAGCAAATTTTGAGGAACATTCATCTCTATCATTCACAATTTATGTGCACTTTGGCCTTCATTTTTGGACCTTTTTTTTGCAGTGGTTAATGCGAAGACAAGCACACTTACTTCGGGCTGAACAAGGTATTCCTATTTCTGTATGTTTTGAATTTTCGGCCCCCAAACGCTTCGGCTGTAACTCCTAACCTACAGGTCCTAATAAAATTCCGTGAGTTGTCACAAGTCCTATTAGTCACGGGGATGCTGTCCGTGAGGGGCACACGGAGGTTCGGGGGCTGTTTTCAATTTTCGCCCTCGAAACGGCATTTTTGGACGTTTTCGGCTCTAACTCCCAACGTACAGGTCCTAATAAAATTCCGTGAGTTGTCACAAGTCCTATTAGTCATGGGGATGCTGTCCGTGAGGGGCACACGGAGGTTTGGGGGCTGTTTTTAATTCTTGGAAGATTACATGAGAATATGTTTCCTCCTAAACACATGAAAGGGCCAATAAAGGATTCTAAAAAAAAAATGTGATAAAAAGAAAGAAGAATTAGAAGAGAGCCTATACCTCAAGCAGATGATAACTAGAGAAAATGAATCATATGCAATGATAACTAGAGAAAAAAGAAAATTACTAAAACTTACTTTCAGATCACTCAAGGAAGAGTTACTAGATAAGGGTATAGAACCAATATTTTATATGACAATGGAGCAATAAAACCAAAATGCAAGAGAAACCCTGAAATAAAAGAAATGTGATCAGCTCAGCACTAAAGAGTCAAAGATCTTAAATTCAACATATCAGTTTAGCAAGAACAAAGACGAATTTTGGGCAATGATTAAATCAGATTGAAAAGAATATTGCATAGGCCAAGGAAAACAAAATAAGTCAATTTTCTGTTTTAAGTATGAGATATAAACTTAATACACAACTGACACTGAAGGATGTCCAAGTATCTAATAATGAATAAACCTTCATTTTTAATTCTTGGAAGACTACATTAATCTCAATCTTACATTAAATACTAATCAAAATAATGTTATCTTTTCACAACAGAACACTCTGACCATGCTTCAGCAATAAGCATTAGTATACTATCTTAAAATTGCTAACACAAAAAGATTGATTCCATCATTGAAACAGTTTATGTCGAGCACCACAATAAACAAGGCCATGCAGTCAATTCCATCTAAAAAAAATCACAAATTCTTATCTGATATTTATGTCAGGTTCAGCTAGATTTCAATACTCCTTCAGTTTGTTTGTTAACACTTACACATTAGCATTTTATTACTTATACATAAAAAATAAAAAATAAAATAAAATAAAATAAAATAAATAAATAGCTAAAAACAAAATTAGTAGATTACCATTTTCTTTGTACACAAGTCTTAACTTGAACAACATAAAGTGGCATCAACATTTTTCTTGCCAAAATACTTTTGGTAGCAAATGTTGCATGGCAAACATCTTTTCATGCTACTGCCAGGTAAGTACAAGATACCTTACTATAATCAATGTTATTACTCCATGAACTATGAGCAGTTCACAAATAGCAAGCACCCTAATACAAGTTTAGGAACTTCCAATATCTAATGTGATTGGCACAGTTTATTGATTCATTTAAGATTTCAGATCATTACTGCAAAAAAAAGGGACAACAAAGTGTAATTCCAGGCAGGCGTGCCAGAGGGTCTAACCAATATTTTTCCTTGTGTCTCTCTCTTCTTTCTCTTGGAACAAAATTACCATCAGCCTTTGCAATTATATCTGACTTTGTCTTTTATATCCTTTGAGATAATAACTTACTATAATTACATGTCTATATCATAATAAACCATAAGAAGCAAACAGGAGGGAATTGTAGAATTAAAATATATACCAAGGCTTAGAATTCTTGAAACATAATGACAGAAGTTGTATTAACTCTGAGTTGCAACTATTCAATTCATTTTACTTGCTTGAACAATAAACATATACATACATTGCATAAAACTGCATAATAAGCCCACTAGCATACAGAATTGTCCAATGACACAGACATGTAAAATCAACATCTACTGCAGGAATATGCATGTAAAGCATATATGTAGCTTACTAAGAGCCAACATCTGGAATTAATTAAGCTTGACACAAATGCAATAGACTTTTCCTTTAGAATTTACAATTTGAATTCTTACATTGAAATGAATAATTGCTAAATACTTAGGTAGTGTTTGGTTCATTGGAATGTAATGATTATTCCATCAAAATATCCATTCCCATATTTGGTTGACTAAAAATATGACAAAAAACACATTAAAAGTAGAATTATCATTCACTATCATAAGGAAATAATCATTCTGAAGTGGAGTCTAAGAATGACCATTTCATTCCATTTCAACTCATTCTAATCAACCAAATGGATCCAATGGTAAGAAGAAATACAGAAAAATACTTGCCTACTGGTTGCTCATGTGTGTGTCTTACCCTTTCACTTCCACTACATCGCCAGGTTTTAAGCTTGCAAAATGCTGACTCATTTTCCCATCTGGGTACACCTGCAACAATTTGTAAAGGTAAAAGGCAATAAAATTTCAAAATAGTTGCATATCTATAGAGCAAAGAGCAGAAGGAGAAGCAACAGTGGAGGGAATTTGAGAAAAGAAGGGAAGGAAAGAAAAGGAGAAGGAGAAGCAACAGTGGGGGGAATTTGAGAAAAGAAGGGAAGGAGGGAAGAAAAGAGAGTAAGGAAAATCACAAAATAAAATTGAGGGGAGGAAACAAAGAGAGATAACTCCACATCTAACAAAAGAGAATTCTCACTTAGAAAACCCTGAATTCTCAAGTCAAAGAAGAAAGAGGGGAAAATAAAATGTGTGTATAAATGTTTATGCTAGGCAATCTAACCAACAGTCATATTCTAACAAACTAAATGATGAATATGTCCAACTCCTTAATTTCTAACAAACATGAATATATTTCTTTCTAAGTGAATAGTTCTAGACTCGTAGAAATCTCAAAACAATTTGGCCTTCTCTTTTGACTGGAATTTATCAGAGTTATAGGACAAGCGGGAGGCAGTAGCTTTTTTCCTTTTGGAGGATTCGGCCATAACTTAAGACTGTGTGTCAGAGATGACAAACCAACCCGACACATTTAGACATCCCAACAAGAGGGTAGAAGACACCCACCAAAGTCACAATCATAACCCCCAAACAAGATCCAACAATCAACAATCCCACCAATCCCAATATCATCCGTCAAATAGCAACCACAATTAGTAACAACATTATACTCAACAGAAAAAAAAAAAAATACAAGTAATAAACTATGTAGACAATGTTAGCAACCAACACAACTAATTTAAAAAAACAAAGTAAAAGTAAAAATAAATCCTAAATCTAGTAGGAATAAATAAAACAAAGTAAGCACTCAAGAGGAGAACAACTTCACGAACTCAGATGAAAAAACTAAACCGAACATGGCTATATAGGGTTCAATCGCACAAAACAAAAAACTAAAGCCTAAAACCCTAAGTGAAATAAAGCAAAGGAATGAGAGAGACTTACCAATGAAGGATGAAAATCGCATGTTTAGGCAGACAATCACTCGAAATCCAAAAGAGCAAGTGGTCGAAACAAGGCAATGGAGGCAGTGAGCCCAAGGAGAGAGAGAGAGAGAGAGAACACAACCAATTTTGTGATTGTATATCTCCTGAATCGCATGTTCCAAGATCTTCCAAGTCTTCTCTGCGTATTTCGGATCCACCACGACCCGATGTTTAAAAGCTTCTATCTGAAAATTCCTCTTCTTCTGAGCACTCATCGTCCCTCCAATTCCCCAAACCAAACTGATTGAATTTTGAAGATCGAATCTGCGTTGATTAGGGTTTGAAAATTCATGATTGTCAGTGACTTAGTTTATTGATGATATGGATAACGAAAGTAGTGAATTAGGGTTTGGAATGAAGAGAGTTGATGGAGGAATGTGGGAATTGATAGATGAAATGTGAAAGCAGTAAGAGATTGAACAGAATAAGAAGAAAATGACGCAACTATTTTTGTCTTCTCATCTGAAAAAAAAAAAAATTTGTGTGAAAGAGGGGCGCGGGCACCAATATTCAGTTCCCTCTAAAACAAAAAAATTGTTTCTACCTTTAGCGACTAAAATTATATTTAGTCGCCAAAGAATAATCAATACCGACTAAACTTTTTGTAGCCAAAAGTGTAATGTAGCGAAAAGACCATTAGCGACTAAATCTCAATTAGTCGCCGATTAGTTTTATAAAATCTCTCCAAATTTTGAATTAATCCCTCCAAATATTTTAGTTTTGGCGACTAAACTTTCTTTTTGTCGCTGAAAGTACGTTTTTGGCAACTAAAAGTTTGGTCGCCAAAGAGAAATTATTTTTTTATTTTCCATTCGGCTACTAAATTTTTTTTTTGTCGCTAAAAGTACATTTTTGGCGACCAAAGTTTAGTCGCCAAAGAGAAAAAAATCATTTTTTTATTTTTCATTCGGCCACTAAATATTTTAGTAGCCAAAAGTAGATAATTGGCGACTAAACTGATTTTTAGTCGCCAAAACCTATACTTTTGGCTACTAATGTTGTTTTAGTTGCCAAAACCTATACTTTCAACGACTAAAATTTTTTTTAGTCGCCAATTTGGTCGCCGTAGGTGCATTTTCTTGTAGTGATAGTAGCTGTAGTTGTAGTTGTAGCAAATCCACTTGCTCCTATCACAAGGACGAGAGTGCCCAATGTATGTGTTAAGGCACCTAAACCCGCGGCAATAGCTGGAGCAACTAACCCTGTTGCATTTCTTGTCTGCATGACAAATGAAACTTCACATAAGTACAAAAACCAACAACTCATAGACAAAAATATTTCTTGAGGTATTAAGAAATGATTAAGAAATTTTAAAACATCAACAAAATATTTCCAAAATTAATAAGATAATTCAATGGCCCCATAAAATCAATGTCATAATGAAAAATTAACAAAAAATTAAGATCTTAATAGTTTGCTACTAAATCCAGGCCATAAGAAGCTCAAGAGAAAAAATCAAATTTAAAAAGAAGAAGAGGTGGAATTAATCTACTTCAATGCAGCACCTACTTGGGACTTGCATAATTATGTTAAAGACTCTATGTATGAGGTTTAGGTTTGTATAGGTTTTATCCATTACCATTGTAAGTTCCAAAATAAAGAGTCCAAGCCAAATTAGAGTCTTTATTATTTACACGTTTAAAAAAAACTTTCAATCCATTATAGAAGAAATTTAGGTAAGTTTTAGTAGCTTTAGGCGCTTTTTGGGACAATGTGATGTAATTCTACCAGAGTACTTAATAGCAAATACATAAGATAAGGAACTATAAGAATAATCCCTAAGCTAATCTTTTTCTTCTCTAATTTTTCACTAGTATCTAATTCAATCACAAGCTAGCTGACAGGAGAGAGGCAAAACAAATAGATTTTCATGACTAAAGCAGACAGAGAAGAAATAAACTGATGTAATCCCAGTAACTCCATGACTAAACATACTGGAAAACAATAAACTAATGTAATAAACTATTTTGAGAAATAATAAACTGATGTGAAAAAACAATTTTACATAACAGATTTTGTAAAAAAACTATTTTGTTTTCCCTCATAGAAAACAATAACAGAAATTAAAAAAAATTGACTTTGTACAGCAACTATCTGTTTTATTTGAAGCGTCAACTGAAGTGTATAAAATGCAAAATTCGATGAATGGAAAAAAGTCTCACAAAATTTAAAAAATTCCAACAAAAGTTTAGATTCTCAAATAATAACAATGGTTTGATCTCGATAGGGCATTTATGACAAACTCCACTTTCCAGCAAGGATGGTTAAAAGAATACATTTTTATTTTTATTTTTTATTGAGCTCTGATTTTTCTCTTATACAAAGGGATCAAGTATATAAACATCTAAGTTGTTTCCACGGACTAAAGGAAGACAACTTAACATAAATGATTAGGGGAAATGAAGGGCACAGCTTCATATGAAGGACCTTGAGTCCAAGAAGACTTGCAATACACTACCTATCCTTACCAGACAATAAAACATTTTTTCTACTACTAGTCAAGACAGGACCAACCTTCCAAAGCAACTCAGAAGAAGTAAAGGAACTGCTAACCAGGAATTAAGAATTTTAAGACCTCTACTCTGTAACTCCTTTCCTAGCTTGTAACAGTATTAGATTTCAACAAATGGCAAATAATATAGCTCAATCAACCGATCAAAAAATTCAAAAAACAGCTCACAAAGTATATCACTCTAGAATGTGTCTCAGAAGGAAATTTCTAGATATACCCTGAAGATAAAACAGAGTCACAGTGCTTTGCATTTTTCTCTTTCTATTTTATCTTTTTGCATGGTATTTTTCTTTTCTTTACCTTTTCTGTCTTTTTCTTTCTTTTCTTTTTTTTTTTCTTTGGTGGTGTCAGAAAACAAACAAACTAGCATCCCACTTTTTCTAGGTGACATAATATTCTATTTAGCATGCATAACACTTGCAAGATGAAAGATAGGAATCACATAAAGATGAAAGATGTATATTTTAGCTTCTAAGGATAGGAAGTCACATAAGAATAGTCATACCATATAAATTTATAATCAATGCACATTTGTCTAACCAAATCATATGTATCAGAGTCCCCATATAGTTGATTTGCAACAGCACGAAAGAGGCAGTTCCCATCCTTCAGCATTTGTTTGACTTCTAACCCTTGTGCCCTTTTTATATCAATCTCAAATTGGCATTCTCTCTCCTGAAACAAAAGCAATCAGCCAATTTTACAATACTAAATTTGATGAAAACCATGAACTTAGTAAATGAGTAAGATGAGTTAGGATAGAAAATCCAATCATAAATTAGAAATAAAACATCAAGTTCATTGGAAAGTTAAAAACCTTTATTTACCTATGATGCTTAGATACAGCAGGGAAGAAAAACATTTTTTTAATCTTATCATGACTTGTAAAATTCATTGAATCATTTTATTTTATTTTTTTTAAAAAAAAAATTAAGGGTACTTGAATTTCAGATGCAATTGATATGCCATATTTAAATGTTCAACTGGAGAAAGATAACTCAAGTCTACAATATTAGTAATTAAGGAACATCTGCTTGCTGAAGTAACTGATTGAAAAAAGAAGTTATAATCCAAGAAAATATGAATTGCAAAATGGGCATGGCCAAGTGATTCCACATGAAGAACTGTTTGGGACCCACTTTGAATGTTCGTACTGCAAAAGTATCCAGGAATTGTTATTAAGATATCAAACATATCAAAGCCATTGGATTCAGATCACAAATTTTTAAAACAAAAGATTTTTAATACCTTAGTGAATACCAAAGATAGTCACTTTTGTTAGTTGTAGTATTATCGTTCAATGATTGACGCGTGAATTGTGGAATTGTAGCCATAGAATTAATCTGTCACATAAAAATAACAAATTAGCTTATCTTGTTATTGGAATAAAGAGAAATTCATATTTTATAGCCCCATATTTATTAAACGGGAAATTTGGTTGTTATTTTGTGACACCCCAAATTTTGATAATATAATACAACGATAAACCGAGGTTTAACTAACGGATACACATCATTTTTAAGCACAAAATACAAATAATTATACTAAAAGAAAATATTAATAATAATTACAGATAAAATTCTTCAAGTCTTTAAATATAGATCAATTCCTTGATACAAAAAGATTATCCAAAATACGGGAAATATAAAATCTAATCTCTAAGGCAGCCATGGTTCCGCAAAGCTTCTAGGGGTTCCGTTCTTGGTGTGACACCCCAAATTTTGATAATATAATACAACGATAAACCGGGGTTTAACTAACGGATACACATCATTTTTAAGCACAAAATACAAATAATTATACTAAAAGAAAATATTAATAATAGTTACAGATAAAATTCTTCAAGTCTTTAAATATAGATCAATTCCTTGATACAAAAAGATTATCCAAAATACGGGAAATATAAAATCTAATCTCTAAGGCAGCCATGGTTCCGCAAAGCTTCTAGGGGTTCCGTTCTTGATCTAAAACTCGTCTTCACCTGGCATAAAACGCCATGAGCTTGGAATGCCCAATAAACACACACACTCTGACCCTTTTCTCATTCCAAATACACAAGTAACATAATGGCACGATCATAACATACGGCGAAAAACAATAATTAAGCAGAGCTTATAGTTAAATTTCAGTTCTCATGACAATTTTTGTTAGTTCTAGGCAACTCCCTGCGAAATGCTGTTCTTACCCAACCACTAACACTGGCCACGGGCAATTCTAACTCCCCCTTGGTTAATACAATACCAATGTGTCGCTTACTGCATAACCACCAGTGCGTCGCTCACCGCACAATTACCAACGATGCCCACACACCTAGGTTACATACCCGAGTGGTGACATCACGGTTTGCCCCAAGGGAACAGGCTTCTAGGGGTACTCTCCCTGTGTGAGACCTTCACTGCCACCCTTATGCCTCTCATTTCTTTTAAGCAGCCAGAATACTTCCCGTGCCATGTTAGGGTTCGTAAACACACTTGCACAAGACTTCACAAAAATGGAATACATTCCACTATGTCATACTCTTGAATCCGTCGATCATTATCTCATAAAATTTAATACAATGATCGCAACCCATTATCATCCCATTTGATTACCCCTTAATTAAGTGCATTATGTTCTCAGTTATAGCAAAGTATGGTTAATATAATTACAAATCCAAACTAAACAACAAGTAATTTATTCATGGTAAAGCAAATTTACAATTTATCATAGATTACATATCAAGACTAAAACTTTCAAGAAACATAGAATATAAGGGTTGCAAACGAAATAAGAGCATATTAACACAAATTTCCAGATTTCTAAATTTGAACTAGTTTGAAAATAATTATGAAAAAAATAATTTTATTGGCCCTAAGTACTTGGCCTCATGTGAGTTTGTAAATAAATAAGTCTAGTTTCAAACTCAATTTACGAAAGTAGGATAGGTATTTTAGATTTTAAGATAATTCAGAATTACCAAGATCTGTCCAGATTAGTTAACCGTTACGCAAATCGGTGTTTCTCTCGAACCCCTCACTCTCTTGAGTTCAAACAAATTTTAGTTAAAATATAACACCAAGATTAAGATTTTGACATAAAATTGGACTCAAGATTATTTTTCTGGAATTTTATAAAAATAGAGAAAGTTAACTGTTTTTCTAGTTCTGTGAGTAACAAACTTGGAAAAATTGTTTAGGTTATAAAAATACATCCTTAGGTCCTACTAAAATTATCACATACTCTAGACATACCAAATATTACACAATAAAAACAGATTTCGAGTTTATGGAGTTTTGATAGGAAAATAAATTCAAGAGATGGAAAAGATTTGCTCTTGAAAATGTAAGAAAAAAAGAGCAGCATACCATTTCTTGATTAATATACATTTATATAAGAGTGTAGGCTTAGACTACAACATATATATACAAAAAGTATGTATTAGGAGGGGAAAAACAAGTGGTAAAAGAACTTGAGAGAAGAGGCGATGTAGGTTTACTTTTGTTGTACAAAACTCAACACAATCATTCTTTTTCTTCTTCTCTTCTCTCTCTCTCTATCCCTCTCTCTCTCTCTCTCTCTTTTTTTTCCAAGATCACTCTCTCTCACTCCTCTAGTGCATGGCTGAAAAATGTGTAAAATGAGGGGGAGAAGTGTGCATATATAGAGAAAGGATTAGAAGGTTTCTTAGGGGCCAAGTTCCATAGGTGTAATTTGTCAAAGTTGTCCATTAATGCCATCAAGGCCATTTCAACCCTCACATGACTAGCTACTTGGGCTCCAAGAAATATATATATATATATATACATATGAGATATTTGTATTTATAAACATAGTATAATAGGCACAAGTACAGTAATTAATAAAATATTACAATTAAGGGTTGGAATAAAATAAAATAGAAGTTTATAGGGACCAAATCTAAATTTATGAAACCTTGATATTTAGGCCTCATTTGGGAACAGGTTAATTTAGTAACTTTTTGGCTATTTGGCTAAAAAGGTAGGTAAAAAAAACTTGTATGTGTCGCGGCTAAGGCGCTCGCCTGGCTCAAGCCGCCTCGCCTGGTACCTGTACAGGCGCAGATGGTGCGCCTCGACTCGCCTTGCGCCTAGGCGTGCGCCTAGGCGCGACTTTGACAACACTGGGCACAAGTACAGTAATTAATAAAATATTACAATTAAGGGTTGAAATAAAATAAAATAGAAGTATATAGGGACCAAATCTAAATTTATGAAACCTTGATATTTAGTATACAATATACTAACATTAGAAAATAGTTAAAATAATAAATTTGGATCACGTTAAATTAAAGTGCAAACAAAGACGAGAAACTGAGCAAAAACGGCATTACCGGGAATTAAGATTTTAAAGTGATTAATCTATAATTATTGGTTCTAATAATTAATAATAAGGTTTTAAAGGGGATTATTAATCTACGGGATCGATTAGGGTTTACTCAAATTAATCCGCGATACTTCTTGATTCTAGGGTTTAAAACGCAATTAAACGAAAATTCAAGGGCTTTATTGAAATAAACTCAAGGTTAAGAATTTAATGGTAATTACAAAAATTAGGATCTCTACATATTTTTTTTAAAAAAATAAAGAGAACATAAGTTAGTAGTTACAGTATGAAATGGAGTTCCGTGAAGATACTGCATCATCTGATTGTGACCAAATTTCTAGCTCTTTATACAAATGCAATAAATTTAGAAAAGAATAAATTCAGAATAATTTCTAGCTATTTTGACATGGTTGAAGCTAAGATTTTTATCTAAAAAATGGCTAACCAAACAAGCCTCCCACTTTTCAATGTTTTCCCGAGGTGGGACATCAACAACAATGTCAGTATTGCTAGCAGGTGGAAAATACCTTAGTTTCACAGTAGATCTTTGATTTGTAGCTACCACCGAGGCCCAAGTCTTCTTCTCCGGCACAACTGGGTTCGCCACTGGGACAGAGTTGGCAGCGTCATTATCCTTCCCTTGCTCGCTTTGATTTACCAAGAACCCAGTTCATTGCCCAACACCTCTTCCACCCCTTCCACCTCGTATCGCCTGTTGCAGACCAGTACGTCCATCCATCTGAGGAAAAATATTTCTCACCCCCAGATCTTCTCGATGACTCGAACTCCTAGCCATAGGGCTCACCCTATCCATGCCCATTTCAGGATCTGAAAAGCTTCTGAGATGTTATGTCCTCATATACAATCTCCGATTCATCCAGATTGGAAACCATATTCCTAGTCCTAGCTATAATCAAGTTATCAGGTAAATTCCTAAATCGGTTGATAAAAGCTTCCTCACTACCCTCTTTTTCCACAATATTGGACCATCTCGACTTTAACAAGTTTAGGGCAGCCGCCGGAGTCAAAATTTCCTCGTGAAACAAAGGGGTTAAGTCTTCACAATTCACACCTGAAACATTGGCTTTCATCACGTTGAGTTTCTCTCTAAAAGCTTCCATAGACTTAGCAAAAGACGTAGGGTTCATGACTGTCTTTCCAGATTGACCACAACTGATGGGCAATTCACCTTTCATACCCCCGAAACCCTGATCAAATAGCTTTCTCACTGCCTTTTTTTTTTAAAAAAAAAAAATTGATGTAACATATAAAAAAAAAAATTGGTGTTTGGCGCCCCAAATTTTTATTTTGGTACTTTTTTTTTTAGGTCATATCTTTCACGATAATAATTGCGTGTCGTGAAAAGTGTAATATTTTAAACGGCTTGTTTTTCGCGCGTCTTGAAAAGTGTAATTTTTAACGGCTATATTTTTGTACGTCGTGAAATGTTCAATATTTTTGACAACTAGTGTACGTGTGTCGTGTATAGTTGATGTATTAACGGCATGCCATATGCATGTCGTAGAAAGTTTTCTTATTTACGGCTAACATTGCAAGCCTTAAAAAAATCATCGTTATTAGTATTTACGACCTATGCAATAGACACGTCATGGTTGAAAAATTATTTACGACATGCAAAAAAAGCAAGTTGTAAAAGTGTGAAACCACGGCTTGCATTTACTATATGTCATTGATATAAAGTCGTAAAAACCCAATTTTGTTATAGTGTGAGGACTCCCAGACAAGGAGGTTGAGAATCTACACTGCCATCACCACGGTGTTCAGTAAACCTATCGACCGAATTCTTAGCGAGATACGCGACAAACCCTTCGTTCGGCGGCCAGTCAAGTTGGGAGAAACGTAGAGGGGCTATGATGAAAAATATCGATGTACCTTTCACGATGAGGTAGGGCACCGAACTAAAAATTGTATGCCACTAAGGTAACATTTGGAAGAGTTAGTGGCCACGGGCCACTTGGACCAGTATATTGAGGGAGGAGCTCAACCTGCCCCCTAGGACCGCAATAGGCCAGATGGGATGCTAGTTGACAGTCCGCCACAAGGTATAATCAATGTGATACATGGGATCATCGAGCTAGAGCGGGTTTGCAAGCTTAGAGGGATGATCAAGAAAGCGGAGCACATCAGGAAAGTGCTAAATGTACAACCTATCATGAAAAAGGGGAAGACGGAAGCGAAAAATGTCATCACCTTCTTTGACAGGGACTTGGCAAGGTTGCAAAGCCCTCACAATGACGCACTAGTGGTGAAACTGCGTGTCAAGAATTTTGACATCAAGCGGATCTTGATAAACCAAGGGAGCTCGTACAAGATAATGTACTATGAGACCTTCAAGCAACTCAAAGTGGAGAACATAGATTTAGCACCCGCGATATCTCCCTTGGTTGGTTTCGACTCTATGCTAGAATGGCCGGTTAGCAAGATAATTTTGCCTGTCAAAAAGCTGGGACGATGACAAAGCAAGTGGAATTTTGGGTGCTGAAAGTCCCTTCCACTTACAACATTATCTTGGGAAAAGCATGGCTGCATGCCATGTGAGCGGTAACATCAACCTTCCATCAGGTGATGCAATTCCCTAACGAAATGAGAGTGATTGAAGAAATCTTGGTAGACCAAATCATGTCCAAGAAATGCTTCGTAATGGTGAATGACAGTCGGGCTACCAAAGGTTTCGTGCAGATGGTAGAGGAGCCAGAAAGCAATGAGTTATTCGCGGACGTTGGCAAGGTAGCCGAACAAAAGGCAGTAAAAGATTTGGTGGAGGTCAGAATAGACGGGAAGGTCCCAAAAAAAGTTCTTTTTGCTTGGCTCATCTTTGTCCAGCATTGAGAGAATAAAGATCATGGAATTCTAGATTTCTAACCTCGAGGTGTTTGCTTGGACACAATATGACATGCCAGGCATTGATTCAACTTTCATCTGCCATCAACTTAATGTCCACCCAACCGCCAGACCAATTATACAACGAACTTGCCGATCGACACTTCAACATGCCGAGATAGTGGTTGAGGAAGTGGGAAACTTGTTGGAGGCAGGGCAATCAGAAAGGTTCACTATCCCAAGTGGATCTCTGATACCGTGGTGGTGCTAAAGAAGAATGGCAAGTGGCGCGTTTGCGTGGACTACAAGACAATCAACAAAGCGTGCCCAAAAGACAGCTTTCCTCTATTACAGATAGACCAACTAGTGGACCTAACTACAAGTCACAACCGACTTAGCTTTCTTGATGCATATCATGGTTACCATCAGATTGCTATGTATGAACCAGACCAGGAGGTCACATCCTTTACAACACCTAGGGGATTATATTGCTATAAGGTCATGCCCTTTGGCCTAAAAATGCAGGGGTAACGTTCTAGCGAATGATCACCAAAATGTTCGAACCATGGTTAGGCAGAACAATGGAGGCTTACATAGACGACATGGTGGTCAAGAGCAAGAAAGAAGGAGACCATCTCAAAGACCTAGCTGAGATGTTTCAAATTTTGAAGACCCACAAGTTGCGACTAAACGCATCTGTGGGCTCGTCTTTTTCCACGCCCCCCCCCCCCCCCCCCCCCCGCCTTTTGAAAAAGGGTTTGAAAAGAAGGCCTCACAGTTGGGACTCCCGCGATTCTGAATCTAGTCTCACAAGTGCAATGTGAAACTGATAAATACCAAAGAGTCCAATCCATCAAATCTTTTTGGAAAATCGATTTTAAATCAAATAATGCCAAAATTGGACTACTTCACCAAATTACAGAGTCGCCACCTAAATATTTTATTTTGGGGAAATTTAGGAAATCCTGACTCGTGCCAAAGGCCACGTGTCCGTCATCACCAAAGTTGCCTCGGCTCGGGAACTTGAGTACGAGGGAGGAAGGTCATGAATTGAGCGCCCCTGCTCGCCCGATCAAAGGTTCGGCCTCTACTAATAATGATATGTTCTTTTATAAACCTTATGTGTTCTTTAACCGATTATTAGCTAACATTACTATGTAACGTGCACAAGCAAGTATAGACTAAAATTGCAAGAATTGGAACATTTCAAGTCATGTTTGTTTGTGAAAATGGTTTGAATTTGCCATCCTCGAGTGGGCTTAAAGATGCGATTTTGTCACCAAACATAGTGGGCTTAAAACATGATTTGCCTCTTCGCAAAGTGGGCTTAAAACACACATTTGTTGAATCGTTCCAATTCAAACAACAAAGCCTCCACCCATAGGCATTCATGCAATTTAGCAAGTAAGCACATAGCCTCATGGCAAGCATGCGAAACATGGCGACATGGCAAACACACTTATGCGAGTATGCTAAAGCGTAAAACTTACTGAGTATTCCAAGCCAAGATAAAAACTAGTTACAAAAATGCATGATCCTAACTATGTTGAGTGTCTAATGCAACACATGCAATAATGCAACTAAATAGGCTCGGCTACCTAATCATGGTATTTGTAACACTTTGATAGGACGCTTTGAAACACGTATTCAAAGAACTATTGAATTACAATGCAGTTTGAATGATGCGCTGAGCCTTGTTGCATGCAAAACAAATGAATGGATGCAATCATGCAAGCATAAGGTATGCTAATTAAAATATGTCTCTAAACTAACCATCGAAAGCGGTCAAATAAAAGGAAGAAAGACGTGGGGTTAGAAGACATGCACACACGCACGCACACTTATTACAACATTTTGCCCTCGCGAAGGAGGATCCAAATAAATAAGGTAAGCTAAATTATTACAACACAATATTTAACTAACTATCCTAAGCTAATTAAATATTACAAATCAAATTAACTAGCTAAACACTTAACTAATTAATTACAAAACAAGTAAATTAACTACCACTAATTAACTAAATAAAGCAATTAAATGGCCTCGCGGGGCGAGGGACACATGCATGCTTGGTTGGTTTCCTCTCGAAAATCCACCGCCTTGCCATTGCGTCCTTTGTTTTCACATCGTTTGACCACTGAAAATTGTGCCAACTCCCAGAACACCTCTGATCCTCTTTAGGGACACACTGTGCACCTTTTCATTTATCGAAGGTCGGCTACCAATGGTGGCTGTCGGCTACCATTGGTGGCTGGTCGGCTACTTCTGGTGGCCGGTTGGCCACTGCTGGTGGCCGGTCGACCATCCCTTCCCTGGACTTCTCTTTTTTTGCTGCAACAGAGAGCAAACAGAGGGAAAACAGTGTATTCTCAAGGAGTGTATGTACTGTTACCCTCTTTATTATCTCAAAATCTCAAAGGAGTGGCACACTTGGATCCAAAACCACCAACCAAGCATTTTCAATGCATGATGGCCAAGGAACCAAGGAGTACAACTTCATTGTATGCAAAAATAAAACTCAAGACCATCACCTTATCATGTGTTATCAAAGGCAATGGAGACCAAGGAGATGGGCTCATTTCATCACTTTGAGTAAGAAATGCTCCAATCTTCTTTGTGTTCAATATAACGTCCGATTGAACACATGCAATGCAACACAATACGCTTATTTTGCTCAAGTTTTACTTATCACTTTTGTTTACTCATTTTAGATTACCAATCCATTCTTTAATTGATTAAGACCAAGATGAGTGTCCTCTAATAGAATGGGTGTCAACCAAGGGATGGTTTAAGGCAAGAGAGAGGTCATACCTTTGAGTAGTAGAAACCGTCAAAAAAGGATTAAAACCATTGAGCACAAGCCTCAATCTCAAGCTTAAACACAACCCTAAGGCCAAACAATCCTCAAAGCAAATAAAAAGTGTAGAAGTGAGGGAGGTTGCAGATATTTCAGTGTTGAAATGGAGTGCAAAATAAAACTAAAACATGCTTTCAATTCAAAAGAATGATGATTAAAGCATTAAAACAACAAGCTAGCGAAGGAAATTACACTACAACCCTACAATATAAGCCTCAAAGGACCAAACCAGCTCAAAATAGAGCTAAAACAAGTCAAAACAATAGCAAAAACATGCTGAGTTTTAGGTACAAAATGCTAGAAAAACATGCTCACATGTTAAGCTATCTAGGCATGCAAACAAGACACAAGGAGGAGAGGCTAACCCCTCCAATTTTGGACTTCAAAAGAAGGTTTTTGCCACTAAAATAACTCTGAATTTCAGTGGTTAAGAGGCCCAAAAAGTTTGATTTAAAAGCCTTGAAAGATAGCACAAAAGCTTACGCAATTAAGCAACAAGAAGGGTGGATCACCCATTTACACAAAATAGCCTCAAACCATCATGCTAAGCCTAAAAAATCAGAGTTTTTTGTAGTTGAAAACTAGCTAAAAAACAAAACAAAAGGATGGAAAAACAAGTGTGCACAATAAGCTTAAATGAGGTAAGTTCTCTACCTTTGAAGCATAGCACAAAACAGTCACAATTTCAGGCTCAGACCTCCTTTCAAAGCTCAAACTAGACTCCAAGGGACCTCAGCTCCAAGGTGGTCAAGTTTGGTCAAGGGTCTATGTGCAAAAGTGTAGAGAAAACCAACTACAACGCACAAAATAAGAAGAGAGAGAGAGAGAGAGAGAGAGAATTTTTGTCTAAATTGTCTAACCCTCTAAAATGGGGGAGAACACCCCCTATATATAGAAAAACAAGATTGAAGCTTGTATTCATCCCTTCATACACGTGTATGGAGATGCACTTCAGTGAGCAACAGCTGGCACAGCTGGCAAACGAATATTTGAAAAAGGAGAAAAATGGTTACCGACCATCATTGGTGGCCAACCGACCATTAACATAGCCGACCGGCCACCACTGATGGCCGACAGGAACAAGCCATATAGAAAAACAAGATTGAAGCTTGTATTCATCCCTCTATACACGTGTATGGAGATGCACTTCAGTGAGCAACAGCTGGCACAGCTGGCAAACGAATATTTGAAAAAGGAGAAAAATGGTTACCGACCATCATTGGTGGCCAACCGACCATTAACATAGCCGACCGGCCACCACTGATGGCCGACAGGAACAAGCCATGGCCGATAGGCTGTGGGGTTGGCCGACAGGCCACCCTCTCCTCCAGACTTGAAACAACAAGCCCTTGGTCCACAACTAAGCACAAAACAAATAGATTTAGAGGCTCAAAGACAAAGCGCTCGGCCAAGATCTTTAGGCACTCAAAACGAACACGAGCATACAAGATCATCAAGTATTCAAACGATGACGTCCAACTCTTGAGGACGGTCAAAAATGGGGTGTCTACAGCATCCAAATGCGCGTTTGGTGTGCGGTCAGGAAAATTTATTGTCTTTCTAGTGACCAACTGGGGTATCGAGGCCGATCCCTCTCAGATCAAAGCCATTCAAGATCTAGGGAGGCCCAACACAGTCAAAGAATTACAGCATCTCACAGGCCTGGTTGTAGCACTAAACTGATTCATAAGTCGGTCGTCAGACAGGTGTCGCCCATTCTTCCAAGCACTTAAGGCGAAGTTTGAGTGGGATGATGAGTGCGACCGAGCCCTAGAGAGATT